CCCCCCACTGTCCGCTGTCACTGTAAATCAAACAAGGCCAGTCGGCAAATAGGAGGCTCCACCTCAAGCTATGAAACGATTTGAAAGAATTGGTATTAAGAATCTTTTCAGCCACTGTTCAGTTTGATTTTTATACTTTATGTTTGACGAGTTCAATATTTTTCTTCACACAAAGATTTGTCCGCTGGTTGTGTTGTTAGAGAAAGCAGAACAGACGTTACGGCCAGGTATGTGTGACTTAATTGTCCTAGTCAATATCTTTTTTCCAATGATCGTGATCAAAATCATTCAAACTTTCCAGGTCTAAAAATTTACCGTTTGGTAGAGAAATTTCCAGTTGAGTGTCGAAAGTAATCCAGGATTGCTTTGTTTTCGCTTTATTTCGTTATGTGATTGGTCCAGAAACTCGCGCCACTCCCTCAACCAATTAGATTCAAAACTAAAACCTGGTTACTTGCGTTTTTCCCGCGCTTTGGGCGGTTTGCATGTTTTCACTTCGAGTTCTCATTGGCTCCTTGTGATATTTCTGGCTATGATTGGCTGTTGTGCTTGCTTTGGCTTTGGCTTTGGTTTTTACGACACTCGATCGAAAAGCCCTCTAAGTGTCCTTTTTTCATTTCAGTATGAAAACTTTGTCAGTGATGGATTCTACTCCTGGGGCGGTATATCCGAAGATAGTATCCATCGTGAACGAGGAGGTGTTTAGCCTTCAGGTGTGTAAAATGAGGAATGTTTATTTTAGACTTGGAACTGAGTGACAACAAGGTCATACACCAATTTAGTTTAAGTTCTGTTCTGCACCTTGTCTACTGCCACCAGAGAAAAACTTTTCCAAGCGTCCTCCAAGACTGGTAAAGAAATGTTACGCCAATTCTTTAACCAATCTCATGTAAAGTGATTAACCACTCTCAACCTGATTACTCACGTTTTTTTGCGCCTTAAGCGGTTTGCTTGGTTTTGCTCTGAGTTCTCATTGGCTCGTAGTAATATTTTGCTCTGTTCTAATTGGCCATTAATTGAGATAACTTTGATTTTGGTTTTTGCGACAATCAATGTATAAGGGTTCTTTCATGATCGACATTGCTGTTTTAACCAGTGCTGTTATTAGCTTGAGTTAAGAGTAAAACTTTTTAATTTTAATCCATACCTCATGTTCTTAGGTTATTGCACACAATAATGCAACTGCCGGCATCAAGTTAAGAGACATGGAAGCTGTAGATCTGAAATTCGAGATGGCAATCGGTTGTATCCGTGTCATCTTCCTAAACAAATTTGTGATGAAGCTCTTGGTCAGTAAACTTTATTAGCGTCAATATATTTATATTTAGCATTTGTGATTCTTTACAGTTGCAGAAATTGAAGGTAATAAAGCGTTAGTATTTTTTGTGGTATATTTTTTAGGAAATTTCTGCCTTCCATTTGAATGAAATGCTATTCATTGTAGTGATAGTTAGTGCGACACGGCAAAGAGCAATGAAATGGCATTTTTTTTTTGTTACTGAATGCGAGTTACATGTAACTAGTACAGTTAATTTTTCCTGAGCAATTATGATTACTTTATCTTTCGGAGGATGAAATCATTGCAAGCTCAGATATGAATCTCCGTGTTACTTCAGGACTTTTTGAACAAGTTTCAGCGGGCAAAGGATGCTATGGAGAATGCCAGAAAAACTGTAGCTGAGTCAGCCAGTGCAACAGTGAGTCATTAGCCGTTATTAAAACCTTTACATCTTAACCCATTCCACTTCCAGATCTCATTGGTAATTGTCCTTACTGTGTGCTATGGAATTCTTACGATGTTTTGTGAGAGAGTTTGGTGTTAGATCAAGTAATAATTCCCAGAATTGATATGTTTCTTTATTCTCATCACTTGTCTGCTTGATATTGAACTGATTTGTAAGCAGAAACTCTATCTTGGTCACTCACGGGAGTAAAGGGTTAACAGCAGTATTCACTGTTGATAACTGAAGGGTGACACCGTTAGGCAAGCCGTGTGGTTGACGCACTTTATTAGAGACAAATATGTGTTTTTCTGACTTTTAGATTCAGAGTTTGCAAATCCAAAGCTCAAGAATAAGCTTGAAAGTTTCTATCCAAGCACCTCTGGTTATCATCCCTGTGAGTTCGACGTCTCGCGATGCAATTGTTGCAAATCTTGGTCACCTTAGTGTGTCAAACACCTTCAACCTTGCACATAATGGGAAGGATCCTGAAGGAAGTGATGCTGTTGTTATTGACAGCATGGTGGTGGAACTTAGTTCTATAAAACTGTTGAGGTATAGATTTCATCATTTATTCCAGCGCTTTTGAAACACGGTTGACTTAGTAGCCTGTGTGGCTGAGTACCTTCAGTCTGAAGCCACTCCTCACAGCCCCTACAGTGTTCGCATTTGCGCAGGCGTTGTTTAGATATAGTTTAAGGCATTCCAAACATTAGGAGACAGGCTTAAATTCAATAAAGTTCATGTTTTCACGAAATGCGTTTAAGCACCCCATGTATGGGGTGTCCACGATAAGTCTTCTCCTATTTAGACCTCATAGGAAACTCCTACAAAACCGAATTTAAGTGTCTTAACAAGTTCACAAAAATAAGGAAAAAATACACAAAACTGGCGTTTTCAACCACACACTGCACACTCGATAGGGCTTCGCTTACTCGCTATTGTTTTGTGGAGCGAATTGCCTCAAATAAGCGCATGAACAAATTATTTACTCAAGTGTCTTTAGACTTTTGTTGTTTGGACTAATTAGCTGTCTAGTTAAAGAATCATCTGACTGGTTGAGACAGAGGTGTTAGTTTTTCTATTAAATTCATGAGTTTAGAACTGTAAAACTCAACCAAACGTTACCAGGACTCCGTGTTAACTTTGGTAAATCCATGCAGTCAAGATGTAGATTATGAAAGATGTTATTCAGTGAATGACAGAGACATAGTTAAAAAATGAATTCCGAGTGTTCCCAAAGGGAGTCGAACCTACGACCTTCCGATTAGTTATTGGGATACTGCTACTCAGGTTGAGCTTTAGGAGACTCGTGGAACTAAATTAATGGTAACAAATTTCCTGCAATCGATATGAGATATTTTTGCGCAATGATATAACTGAGGGTGGTAAATTTTAAGCCGAGTGAAAAATGATGTTATGAAGTAAATGACACAGGCATACTCGGAAAAAAGAACTCCAAAAATAAACGCAAAGTTTGCTGCGAAGAGGTTAAAAATGTGTGCCACACTCGTGTCTGATGAAATAATCCTTTCCTTTGTACAATGAGAGCTGTGATGACTGATGGAGAAACCATAGGACCCACCCAATTAGTCCTTGAACCAGCGAATGTGACAGTTCATGTGGCTCGAAACTTGTCTCCTTGGTATCACGATGTGCCTGATATCGATGTGAAGGGAAAGCTTCATGCAGTTAAGGTTAGTTTATTGAAGAACAGCACTTGAAAGGGGAATAAACAATTGAACACATTCAAAACAGAATGGTTTGCATTTCGTAATTTATTCACACCATTGAATAATTTCAATCTCGGTATACATTCTTTAACTCGGTAGACATCCCTTCAGTCACATGGTGGCCTTTTTAATAAATCAACTTGGAGCTCTAAATAACTCGCCATGTTGCAAAAGGAAATATTTTTCGATTAAGGTACTTTGCGATTTTAGGTGAGGCTTATTCTGGGAAGAAAAATCAAAGTACACTGTGGCTGCCCATATTTTTAATGACTAAAAGTTCAAGTTAAAATGTTTTTTTTTTGGAGGATACGTGCGGTTGGTTTGCGTAAGTCAACGTAACTTTAAACATAAACTGCCATGTGGGATGAAAACACCCAAAAAATGCGAGGGAGGAAAGGGTGCGAGGGGCAAGGAAACGGAGCCAGAAATGAAGCAAAGTAAACTGAGCAGAAGCACATGGCAGTGCCCTGCCAAACCTCCCTGAA